CCACTTTTGTAACCTTCCCGCGGGGACCTTCCCTGAAAGCCAGAGCCAGGCTTGCTTGACACCTCATGAAGAGGACGTTTTCCTTGTGAAGAGGAAGTTTACTTTTCACCTGGCAAATGTCTCAACCTACGGTCAACAACAGGAAACCCCCGTGTTCCAGATGTGAAACAGGATGAGGCCAAATGCTGTTTTTCAAGAAGCTCCAGCCCAAATCTTTGTTTAAATCATTGTATACACCACCTGTGCACGCCGCTTGATTGTTGGTCCTCATAAAAATGCCTGGCTCTGACCACTCGGTGTCCGAGTGGCTTAAGCGATAGCTGACACTCCTTCCACTGGCATTAAAGCTTTGTCTCTTCTGATTCACGTACTGAGGCTTTTCATTTCTCGCACCATAACAATAGAAATATATCTCCACTTTGGCAACAACTACTTATAAAGTAATGCTAATCCACTAGTTTATAATGTTAAAACTTTTCCCATAATACTACAATTATGCAAACTCTCAAGCCTAACATGGCTCTAAAATATGCAAATACATTTCTGTCGTACTGTGTATAAATAATGAATAAAATATGCTGGATTCCCAGGAGGACCCTGGTGTCTCTGGAAAGTGTTAAAATACTAACTGCAAGGTCAGTGGTTCAAACCCATCAACTGCTTTAAAGGCAGAAAAAAGACGTTTTTGCTCTCATAAAGATTTGTAGTATCCCTCTCCCCCCAAAAGACTTCACTTCAGAGGACAGCACTGAATCTAGGGACATGCACAAGGAGAGGGACATGCCTGATCAGAACACACAGGAGAAAACGAAGGGGGAGGGAGAGAGAGTGGAGCACATCCTGGCCCACCAAGCTCTGAGGACGATATTCCCACTCACAGCAGCCAAAGCACAGAGAAGACCAGAGGGCCACAATGCACGACATCCCTCAATGACCCATAGCGCTATGAGGGAAAACACTGGAGACACAGTGCGGGAATTGTGCCCAATCTGACCCCACTACACCGAGGCAAAACATTAAGGACATGCAACAGAATAGCAAGCATAGCAGAGCAATGAAGTCCCAGGGAATATCAAAAATAGGCTGTGGAGCCAGGTTGTGGCACCCCATCAGAGCTGACTGAAAAACATTCCTAATGGTTAATAAACAGACCTTGAATTATTTATAGGCTTTTCTTTCTTTTATCTTTTGTTGTTGGGGTTGTTATAGGCTTTTCATTTTTGTTGTTGTTTTGTTGCCTTGTTTGCTCTGTCTTGTTTAGTGCATATTATTGCCTCTGCATGTCTATCTATATAAGATAGGGAGAATAAATAGTCCAGAGGAGAAAACAACAGAACAGACAGTTCTGGGGGGAGACAGGGAAAAGGACGTGGGTTTTAACAAACCCAGGGACAAGGGAACAGCAAGTGATCTAAAATTAATGGCCAGTAGGGTGTAGGAGGTCTGGTAGAGCTTGATCAAGGGCAATGTAACTGAAAAGAATTACTGAAAGCTGAACATGATAGTGGGACAAGAGGAAAGTAAAAGGAAATAGAGGAAGGTACTAGGAGGCAAAGGGCATTTATAGAGGTCTAAATACAGGCATGCACATATGTAAATATATATTTATATATGACGATGAGGAAATAGATCGATGTACATATATTTATAGGTTTTGTATTAAGTATTTAGTATTAAGGTAATAGATGGTCATTGGGCCTGAATTTTCTGGTTAATTATTTAAATATCTATTTACATTTAGCAAAATTATTTCAAGTTCAAAACTTTCTATTTTTTAAGGAAAATAAGCAGCTATGATCCAATATATTCACTGAACTAAGCTGTTTTATAATGCCTAATCACAGCTAAAGTACCCTGATTCCATTTACATAATAATATTTGTTCTGGAATGTTGTTGTTAGGGGCCATCAATTCAGTTCCAACTCATAGTAACTCAATACACAGCAGAAATACTGCCTGATGCTATGTAATCCTCAACATTGTCATATTTGAGTCCATTGTTGCTGCCACTGTGTCAATCCATCTCCTTGACAGTCTTACTCTTTTTAACTGAGCATCCACTTTCCCAAGTATAATGTCCTTTCCAAGGAATGATCTCCCCTAATAACATATCAAACGTATGTGATACAGAGTCACACCATCTTCACTTCTAAGGCGTATTCTGGTTGTAGCTCTTCCAAGATAGATGTGTTTATTCTGATAGCCCATGGATTCAATATTCTTTACCAACACAATAACTCAAGTGCATCAGTTCTTTTGTGGTCTTCCTTATTCATTGTCCAACCTACTCACACAAGAGGTGATTGAAAATACCATGAATTCGGTCAGGTACACATTATTCTTCAAAGTAACATACTAGCTCCTCAACACTTTAACGAAGATTTGTTCAGCAGATTTGCCACATGCAATACATTGCCTGGATCCTTGAAATTGGTTGACTGCTGTTTCCATGAATATGGACTATGAATCCAAGTCAAATGCTGTCCTTGGGAACTTTGATCTGTTTTCCATTGATCATGATGTTGTATCGGTTGTGAGGATTTTGATTTTCTTTCATTGAGTGGTAATCCATATTGAAGACTGAAGTCTTTGATCTTCATCAGCAAGTGCTTCAAGTCCCCCTTGCTTTAGCAAGCAAGGTTGTGTCACCCACATATCGCAGGCCTCCTTCTAATTCTCATACTGCATTCATCTTCATAGAGTCCAGCTTCTTGAATTATTTACTCAGCATCCAGATGTCATTAGTATGGTGAAATGGTACAATTTTGATGCACATCTTTCCTGATTTTAAGCCAGGCAGTATTCTTCTCTGTTGCTATGACGACTGCTCTGTCCATGTACAGTTTCTACCTGAGTACAATGCAGTGTTCTCTAATTCCCGTTCTTCTCAATATTCTCCATAGTTTGTTATGATATACACAGTTGAATGCCTTTGCATAGTAAAAAAAAAAACACTGGTAAATATCTTATGGGTATTCTCTGCTTTCAGCCAAGGTCCTTCTGACTTATTACTGACATCACTTGTGCCATGTCCCCTTCCAAACCCAACTGGAATTTCTGGGAGCTATCTGGAATAGATTCCTCCAATTTCTTTCTAAAATATTGTTAAATATTCTGTGGTTTATTTTGAAAATGACAATATCCAGAGCTCAAGATTTTAATGTAATATTAAGACAATATTTTATTGAATCTTTTAAACAAGAAGGAAGATACTATTGAGAAACAAAATCCTATGATGTTATGTAACTGGTCTTTTTCTTATGTCCCTGGTAATGTTTCTGACTGGTTCTTTTTTCTTACAATGATAGGCCCACTATGTTCACTTTGACTGCTTTGCCCTTCCTGAATCTATCATTCAGTCATTGTCTCTGACAATAGGGTCAATTTTGATCTTTTAAATATTAATAATTAAATTCATAGATTTTAAAGATATACACTTAAATCGTGGGCTACCAATTTTTAGAATCCTTGCATCTGTAGTTAGTGGTTAATTTGTTTAATTTTAAATTGCTCCACCCATTAGAATTGAATTCCTCACTGTACAGTACAGTTAATGGCTGGTTCAGAGAAGTGTGTGTCACAGAACCACACTCGTTAAGTATTCAAGACCTGACCAGATGTAGATTACCAGGCCCATCTGCAAAGGCATACAATGCACCTTCTTCCCTCTTGGTGTGATTTTCCTATCATTAATGCTTAGCATCCCTCTGTTACATTTGCTATAATTGATACACCTATATAAATATACTCTTATTAATTAAAACTGGTAGTTTATATTAGGGTTCACTCTTTCTTATAAAGTTCTGTATTTTTGAAAATGGATATTATGTGATCACTACTGCAGCATCTAGGGAAAATAATGTACTGTTCTAAAAATGTCCTTGTTCCACCTTTTCCCTGCCAAACCTAAACCTATGGCAACCACTAATCATTTTACTCTCTATATAGTTTCAGATTTTATAGAATGTCGTTTTGTTGTAATCACAGAGTGCATGGAGTGAGCAACATGTATATAATTTATTTCATTTGTTTTTAAGGAAAATTTTCTCTATCATTGGTTTCTGACACAATGTGCAATAAATTTGAGTGCTCTGGAGTTTTGGAAAGGGAGAATTTGGCATGGCCTTGATTTTATTTAATTTGTTTTGTTACCATTTCAGTTACTGCAAGTTTGAACTACAATCTATTGGGAATATGAACCCATTCTGGGACAATTTCTCTAGGAGACTTCATTAGTTGCAATAAATAACTCTGAATGTGAGAGAAATGCTTCAATCAAAGGTTGCTGATTTCTTAAGAAGCCATCCATTACCTGTCTAAGCCAAGGAAGGAGAAAGAAGAACTGTATAGCTAAACTCACTATCAGCTCTTACTGAAGGGGCTTTTTCCATTGTCAAACTTACTTTTATGAAAACAATAGAGATAGAACACCATCCATCTTTATTGTTTTATGGGCGGATTAAGTGAAATTTTCCTTAGAAAGCAGGATGTGAAGTCATAGACGCTCCGTGGCAATCTAGAGTGAAGCTGCAGGAGGTGGGAGAGGGGTTAGCATTCCAGAAGATTGAAGAGGGTTACAGAAGTTCCAGCCTAATAATGAAAATCCATTGTATGTAACTGAAGGATCAGGGTTTTCCGATAGTACAGATATTATATGTTTAAGAAAATATCGAGTTGTCATCATGCAGCCGAGAAAACCCTTCACAGGACTTGTGAGACATTAATATGCAAGATCTTGGTATAATGACAGCGTGACACATTCAAGGTTTTATTTTGACTCTCTTGGATTTCTTGTATTTTTCTTCAGCGTTAACCTAAATTAAAATATCAGCAATCAACAGTCTGTTTCACAGTCAGTCCTTGATCCTGTTTTAGCTGCTTCTTCAGTGTCTCCTCGCACAGATGTAGTCAATTTAATTTCTGTGTATTTCATTTGGAGAATGCACAGTTGACTTTTGTGTTGTTGCAAAAGGGCATTTGCAATTAAGAAGTCATTGGTCTTACAAAATTCTATCATGCAGAGATGTACAGTTTCTCTCCTGGGTCCCCAGCTTCATGATAGTGCCCAATATCTTCATGTAGGACACTAGGATGAAGACAGCATCCACTGCAAATGTGCAGAGCACAAAAACCAATCCGTAGACACTGCTGAATGTGACGTCCCCACAGGCCAATTTCAACATATCTGGGTAGTAGCAATAAGAGTGTGAAAGGATGTTGGCTCCACAAAAAGGGAAATTCTTGAGAAAAAGAGGCAAAGGGATCCGCAGAGAAACACCTCGGATGAGAGCAGCTACGCCAAGGTGGGCAACAGAAGAGTGTGTCAGGATCGGAGTGTAGTTTAGCGGAGCACAGATGGCCACCAAACGGTCAAATGCCATGGCCACCAGGATACCTGATTCTACCGACGACAGGGTATGGATGAAGAACATTTGAGTCAGACAAGCATCCAGACCAATGAGGCGCACATCAAACCAGAAGATAGCCACGACACTGGGCATTGTAGTCAAGGTCAGTGAGAGCAAGCATGGCCAAGAAATAAAACTGAGGTTCATGAAGATTGTGATCTGCTCTAAGTATGATGAGGAGAAGAGAATTGCCTACAATGGCCATCAGGTAGAGAAGGCAGATGGGAATTGAGATCCATATATACTCAGCCTCCAATCCTGGGATTCTAATGAAGGAGAAGGTGGGGCACTCAGAGGCAGTGTGATTTAAAGCTGGCTTGGTGGACTGCAAGGGGAACTGTCCATGCAGACACTTACAGGCCTGTAAGAGAGAAAATGTGTGTCGTGAAAGCAGAGTACATATATTAGAATTTAAAACACTGTTTACATGTGGAATTGAACAATTTCAATAGGCGAGGAAAACTTTTAGCTTATACTTTTAAATAATATTTCTCTTTAAAACTAGTTTTATTGGACTATACCTCACATATCATACAATATAATTGCTCAGTTATATTAAGATGAGCTGTGCAATCATCATCACAATCAATTCCATAACATTTTCTTACCTTGTTAGCTCCCCATTTCCCCTCAATCTCCTCTGGATATACTCCTAGGTAATTATTAATCCAGTTACTGTATCTGAGGGTTTACCAATCCTTGCTTTCATATACAAATAAATCATGTAAAACAAAAGTAGGATTTAAACAAACCAAAAACCAACAATAAATGACTAGACAAAACAGAGAAATACCTCAGCTTAAAAGGCAGAAAATATTTAAAACATACAACTTCATAATGGATTAAAAGGAGAATAAATGATAAAATAGCTTTAATCCTAATTGTATCTGCCATAATAAACACTACAACTCTCTCTGTCTGTTATCAAACTATTCACATCCCAAGACTACAGTCAGAAGGGAATCAATCACTGGAGGCTTTATGTATGTCTGGGCCTAGAAAATGGACTTTGGACTGTATCATTCACAGCCTCCCACAAACCATGTATTCATAGCTTAACCTCTGGTACAATTCCCTCCTTTGGACTGTATTATTTATAATTCTTGGATCACACAGGCTGTTGTATTTCTTTTGGGTAGACTTAGCTGATGATTCACGTAAATGCCACTTGTTTTCAGACAAGCATGTGAACCATAGACCAGGAGTGGCAACTAGACAGATCACACTGGTTCAGCATTAGCATACCTAACTTTTCATTGAGTTTGGTGAACTGGTTGTTAAAATGGCCCTTGTAGACAGGATTCCTTTAGGTGAGCTGCTGATGTGGAAATCACAAATGTGCATTCTTGACTCTTTTTAACATTCATGTGCACAACAGCAGATTGTAGGCAGACATAGATATTTTCACCCCATCCATAGACTATTTGGCAATAACAATTGATATTGTATATGAAATTTCTCTTCTTTCAAATGCACTGGAATGGTAAATATAGACATAAGATTGAAAAATCTGTGATAAGATCTATTAAAGCATTCCAATCCTTGGAAAGAAAAGGGTCCATACAAAAAAACAACCAAGTTGATAAATTAATTGCCTCAGGAACCTTGAAAAACCTACAATGTGTAGAAAAACATCAATTTGTCAGGCTTTCTTGGGAAAAACTTTTATAAAACATCATAACAAGTTTGAAAGAAGACTGATTGTGTACTTATAAAAGAAAGGTTTAACCAATTTCAAGATAGGAATACATTACAATTTTTCAATATTTTAGGGATTAATAGAATTTTGAAGAAATATTAGTTCCATAAAAGCAGCTGAAGAACATTTCCTTAGATTAATGACATTTGTAATCATCAAATTAATATTAATGGTTATTGAGATTTCCTGAATAACATTCTGAAAAATTCCAAGAATTATGCAATCCTGACAGTATTCAAAGAGCTGTAAATATTGTCAGAATAAGGTTAGCAGAAGCAGAAAGGGGTTTTTCAAAGATGAACATATGTTCAGAGAAACTAAGTCACCTGTTTCTGATACATCACACAATGAGTATTGTCTAAATGGCCTACCTTTGATTGATGTCGTCACTTGCAATGTTCTTCTCATTTATGCCGGCAGCATCAACTACTGTGTGATTTATCCTTAACCATCTCTTCACTGTAGGAGTGAGGACATCAATCAAGCAGTACTATAGAAACACCTTAGATAACAGTTTTATTGTGGGTCAGATATTTTTTTCATTAGTATTTTAAAACAGTCTAGTTTTGTGTACCCATTTTATTTTTCTTATTTAAATATTAACTATATGAAATCATAAACTATATTTTGGTGTATCTTTGTTATACTTAAAGTGGTCATTAGTGCAGGAATGGTTGTTAAATTATTTGTATCTAACTACTGCCCCAGACACTAGTCTTGTGATAGCCATGTATCATCTGGTTTCATCACCACACTTTTCGATAACAACCATCTCTTCAAGTAGGACCATATGAGAATGATTTCTCTTGATATAAGGATGGCAAATTAAGGCCAAGAAACTATATTCAATGGCATTACGTACTAGCCTTCTAAACGCAGAGCCATTAAATTGTTTACAATTACTATATACCATTAGAAGAAAATCCAAACCCACTGCCTTCCAGTTAATTTTTATTCAGCAATCCTATCTAGGGGTTCCAAGAATACCAATCTGTATAGAAGCACACAGTCTCCTCTTTCTCCCATGGAGTGGCTAGAAATTTTAAACTTGAAGTTAGTAGGCCAATGCCATCCAGGCACCTTTTGGAGCGTATACACAGCAATACCAAAAGTGAGTGAGTAGGTGAAACAACTAGAACCGGCATGCACTGCTGATGGGTTGAAAAATGGTACAAGCTTTTTAGAAAATTATGATTTTATAAAGTTAAACATGCATTTATCATAGAGTAATTAGAATACCCAAGAAGCCAAGAAATCCACTCCTAAGAACTTGTCCAAGAGACTTAAAATAATATATTCATGAAACTTGTACAAATTATTCATAGCGATTTTATTTGTAATGGCTCAAAACAAGAAAATAACAAATTGTGCCTCTACCTTTGAATAAATACACAAATTGTGCTATAGTCACATCATTTAATTTAAAAAAGAACATATCAGATATAAGCAGCAGCATGACTGGGCCACATATGTTAAATGAAAGAAGACAAATACTACAGATCAAATGCTGTATGATCCCATTTATAAGCAATTATAGATAAGAAAAAAATTATAGCGACAGAAAACAGATCAAAGGTTTTTGTAAAGGATAAGTAGGAGTGATGTGAGTGTTGTAATGATATTGCAAAAGATACCATTTAAAAAGATTGAAGATGGATATGTTCTAAATTGTTGCTGGTGCAATTATTGAATGATGTTATACACTTAAAAATCTTATTAAATTGCATATCTGTGCTGGTGAATATTAGTGTACAGAAATTTTGTTACTATAAAACTGAAAAAAATATTTATTTGTGTGCAAAGTACTTTTTAATATACTCAATCTATAATTAATTGATATTCTCTTTTGGATATCTTCTGAAATATTTCCCTTCAAGTGATTCATAAAGAAAATATCCCTGTAGTTTGTTAATCAATTTAAGCCCAATGAACAGAAATGCATCCCATCTGTGATGGGTTCTGTCTGTTGTACTATACAAATTACTTTTTCTTATACCCTGTCACTCTATGAGTATATCTCTTTGCTCATGTCAACTTTTCTGCAGGAATCCCTTGATATTCTCTTATATATTGAGTGAATTTCTATTTATTGTTCAAATTTAATTGCCTTCTCAAAAGTATTACCTGATCTTGTAAAATAGAACTGTTTACCTCTTCTCCTGTTTATTATGTGATGTTTTTCCAATCTTCTCTCTGCACCACCATAAAGGACTTAATTATATTTCTACTCTTATGGCTACTCTGAACATACTTGAAATCATAAGCCTCTTTATTTTCCTGAATAATAATCAGTATTTCGTTAAAATAAATTTAGATGCAATAAAACATGATGTAGAGAGAAGGGGCTACATAATACAGAGTAAGGCAGAGTTAAATGAGGAACAATGCAAGAAATCTATGTAGCAAAAAGTTGGTTCTTTGCCCATTACAATGATCAACATATGGCCACAATCCCTGGGGGAAGGACAGCAGAAAAGTGGGTGAAATAAGACAGCAGTTAGTGTGAGACATGATAAAAAAAGAAAAACTGATAAATTATCAAGGGGGAATGGGGGCGGGAGGATGGGAGAGGGAGGGAGAAAGATTAGGAGCTGATGCCAGGGGCTCAAGTAGAAAAAAATGTTTTGAAAAAGATGATGACAACACATGTACAGATGTGTTGGACAAAATGGATATATGTATGGATTGTGATAAGAACTGTAAGAGACCCAGTGAAATAAAATTTAAATTAATAAAACCTAGAAAATAAAAAACCATAAAAAAATTAAAAGTAGGTTCTTTGAAAGGATCAACAGAATCGATAAACCAGTGGAAAAGTGAATCAAGGAAAGAAAGGCGCAAACAGCAATAGCCAGAATGACAGCTGAAACAAGGAAATCACAATGGACCTCAATGAGATTAAAATTATAATTACCAATTACTGTTAAATCTGTATTCTTATGAATTCAGCAACCTGGAAGACTTGGACAAGTACTTGGAAAAATAATCCCTCCCTAGGTTATCCCAAATAAAGGTCAAGAAACTCCAAAGACCCATAGAAAAGAAGAAAACATATGGTTTTCAAGAACTGAAAATGGAAAATGCTTCTGGACCAGATGGCTTCACAAGAGAATTCTACCAAGTATTCAGGGAAGAGCTGACACCTATCCTCCACAAATTCTTCCCAATCACAGAAAAAGATGACAAACTCCCAATCTCATTCTACAAAGCCAATATAATTTTGATACCCTTATAGGGCAAGGATACCCCAGGAATGGAGTACTACAGACTGATCTTGCTAATTAACATAGAAAGAAGATTTTTAAGACTGTGGTCTGGTGCATGTTGCTGCTGACTTTATGGATGGCCTGTCCTAATTTGACTTTCCTTATGGGTGTGGACTTCACAAGGTTAGAACTAGGATGAAGATTCATCACATCAAAGAATATGATTGTCTTCTCAGAGCACTGTGTTGATGTAAGTGGACAGTATAGAAATTGAGAGGATAAGACTTGAAGTGGCTGGCTTACACACTTTCATAGGTGGGGGAGTATATACATAGGAATGTGTTCATAGGATTGTGGTGTAGGTGTTCACATAAGTATAGAATATTTTTGTTTTGTTCACTTACAGAGTGTTATATTTAACTGAAAGTGGCAAAAATTGAATTGTATGTTTTTGGTTTTATCCTGTTAGGTACAAATATGATTGTACTATTATTTGTTTGAAAATTATATATGGCTAAAGAGCTGTGTGAAAGTGTCAAATTGACAAGGGGTGGTCTGTGGTAGTTACATAATATTTTGTCAATTTGAGATTATTAAGAACAGAATCTATGCTCACTACCTCTGAGACATTCCTGGTGGCAAGACACATGGAGCTACTCTAGAGCCCTGGAGCTGAAGAAGCCATGTGGAGACCCCTACCAGTACTACAATGCTTCCATCACCACTGGATCTAAAAGACTTTCCACCTACTGGCTTATTCTTCCTGCACTCTGCGTCATTACATATGTTGCATGAATCTGAAGAGGAATTTATAGATTGGAATCAGACATATGGGCTAATATCAGACTTAGGGAGTTGAACTCGACTGGTCTAAGATATCTGTATAATATGCAATTCTCTTTGATATAAAGTTCTCTCTTTCAACCCAGACTAACACACCCTACAAAAATGGGAATTTTGTTTTCAAAATTATGTATTTAAATTGTTTTACAAATCACCTTCAAAGTACTCTCCGTTACTTTTAATGTATGTGTTAGACAGGGTTTTCTAGAGAGACAAAGCCAGATTGCTAATAATTATGTATATTTATACAGATAGATAGATATATAACATAAGAAATAAACAGTTAATTAAATTATAGAGCAGTCAAAATGGTTCAGTGTAACTCACTCCCGTGAGACAGTTGTGAGACACTGGCAGTCCTTCAAGTCCTGAGGGCCTTCGGGTAGTCCTCTGTAGAGCAATTCAGGTCTATCTGGGCACAGGTAGCAAACATCAAGGCAGGTCACAGTCAGCCAGATGACAGTGTCTGACAGTCCCAGCTCAAGGGATATAAATTCCAATTGTGTGGCAAAGCAAGTCTTGAAGGAACCTCAAATTACAGCGACACAGTCCACAGTTTAGGTGTCCCACAGGTAGTGTAGCTTGCAAATTGAGGCACAGAACAAGCAAGGCAGCCGCACACTGGTCCAATGCAAAGAACAAGAGACAAGAAAGACAAGGCTCACTCACCCATTTATCTCTCCATGCTTAAATTAATCCCACATGTGTTTATCGGCCAGGTTGGCACAAACAACTAACTACCTCAATATATTTGTCAAATTGAGGACATTCTATTCTTGGACACATTTTTCAAATCCATCTGTTTAAATGAATAACAGCACCTCCCTTGTTTTTTTCTTCACCTTTTCCTCAAATCACTGTCCTTTCATGACCCTCTTCATTCGAAGAAACAAAAAGAAGTTGCACGTAGCAAGGTCAGGTGAGTAAGGTGCGTGAATCAAGAGAGGGATGCTGGGGGTTTTTTTGCCCAAAAAATCTGAGATGGCTATGTGAGCAGGTGCATTGACATCGTAGCAAAACCAGTCCCCTGTCTGCCACAAATCAGGCCTTTTTTTATCTCACAGTTACACAATCTTTTCAGAACCTTTAAACAGAAAGCTTGATTAACAGTCTGACTTGGTGGAATGAACTCCAAATGTGGTATGAGTTGACATTTTCATCCTTTCAGGAAGTTGATGGACTTTCAGGATAAGTTTTGTCATCAATCAACATTTAACCTTTTTGGAATAAGAAAACCACTCGTACACTAGAGTTTTCCATAGCGCTGTCCTTTTAAGGTGTGTTCAACATCACAACAGCTCCTGGGTGGTGAAGGGAGACAGCAGTCAGTGTAAGACATGAAAAAATAAAAAATTATAAATGGTCAAGGGTTCATGAGGGAGAGAGGGTGGGGCAGAGAAGAAAGAAATAAGAAGCTGATATTAAGGGCTCTGGTAGAAAAATATTTTGAAAATGATGTCAACATATATACAAATGTGCTTGGCATGGATGCATGTGTGGATAGTGATAAGAACTGTAAGTGCACGCAATAAAATCATTTAAAAAAGGATTCTTGAATTATGCATCTTTTACATTTAAATTAAATGCACCCAAAGTACTTGTTCTGAGTACCTGTTCAGGTGCTCATAAGACAAGTTGCTAATGTGATTTATTTCTTTGTTATTAATTTCTCAATCATTTTGGGGACAAAAGTAGCCAAAATTTGTCTTTAATACATTCTTATTCCTATATTCTTTATGAATCGGATGAGTGATAAAAAGTGTAAACACATAATGTCTGAACACTCAGTTGTTCTATCTTTGACACCAATATTGTTTGATACTACCTCTACCTTTTACTTAACTTATCTAATTCAATAAATGTTATCAGATGCCTACAATATAGATATTATGCCAGAGATTAATGATTCTCTGGTAAATCCAATACAATACCCTTGGTTAATGAGTTGCGGATTTTAATTCCTGAGGGAGAGAAAAAAATACTGTAGAGGCATGCATAAGATGTGGGACATACACAGACCGATGCACTGCTTTCAAATTGAGAGTAGTCAGGAGAGATGTTTTGCTTTTTAAATTAATTGTTTTTCTTTTTTTAAATCATTTTATTGGGGACTCGTACAATTCTTATCACAATCCATACATACATCCATGTGTTAAGCACATTTGTACATTGTTGCCATCATCATTCTCAAAACATTTGCTTTCTACTTGAGCCATTAATATCAGCTCCTCATTTTCCCCCCTCCCTCTCTGCTCCCCCTCCCTCATGAACCCT